GCTGAGGAGAGGAGCAGTGCCCTTCGTCGGCGGACCGTAGACAGCTTTGATCGCGGAGAAGAAGTTCTTCCATTCGTTGCGGTCCGCGTAGCCTTGGATCTCCTCAGCTTTGCGAGCAGTCCAGGCGTCCTGCATCTCGCGCAGCCGTTGCTGGAGCTGTCGGCGACTGCGGTAGAAGGCAGCTTTGTTGTCCTCAGTGGGGTGATCTACGTAGGCTTTGTGTAGGCGGTTCTTCTCGGCAAGATGATTTCTGATGGCAGCGTCGTTGTCGTCGAACCAGTCCTGGTGTTGGCGGGGAGCGCGACCGAGGACGGCGAGCGCCGTCGACTGGACCGTGTCTCGCAGTTGACACCAGCGATTCTCCACGGAGGCGTTCTCGGCAGCGGCGTCGGCGTCGTTGGCGGCGGCAGCGATAGGAAGGTTGTCTAGCCGTTGAGCTAACTCATTGCTGAAATGGAGACGGTGAGCAGGCAAAGACAACAAAGCAGCATTCAGCTTACCTGGGGGTCGCTTACCTTGTGGTCTCCTGCGAGGCTGTAGGCGAATACGCATCTTCGAGATGACGAGGCGATGGTCGGTCCACCCGTCAGCACCCGCGATCGCCTTCGTCACCAGCACATCCCGCTGATCTCGCCTCCGAACGAGGACATAGTCCAGCAGGTGCCCCTGACGCGACCGAGGATGCCTCCAGGTGGTCTTCTCTCGCTCCGGCAGACAGAAGAACGTGTTCGTCAGGATGAGGCGGTGTTCTGCGCAGGTGCGGATCAGCAGCAGACCGTTGTCGTTGAGGCCGCGGAGACCGTGGGGGCCTAGCACTCCCCTCCAGGCAGTGTGGTCCGTGCCGACGCGGGCGTTGAAGTCACCAAGGACAATCAACTTGTCCGCCTTCGACACAGTCGCCAAGAGGGCGTGCAGGTCCTCGTAGAATTTGTCTCTGACGGCGTCGGGGCTGGTCATCGGCGGAGCGTAGGCGCTGATGATGGTGGCGAACTTGCCTCCTCGCCGGAGGGGCAGACGGAGGCTCATCAGCCGGTCCTTGATTCCCTGCGGCAAGCAGGGCAGTCGTCCCACGATGTCGGTCCGGATGGCGAAGGCGACACCCGCGTCCCGTCGCTCTGCCTTGGGTCGACCACTCCAGAAGAAGGTGTGGCCGGCACCCACCTCCTCCAGTTGGCCTTGGTCGGAGAATCGGGTCTCGCTGAGTGCGGCGATGTCCACCTTGTAGCGCGCCAGTTCCCGGGCCACTAGCGCCGTCCTCCGTTCCGGTCGGTTGCTCCTCGGATTGTCTAAAAGGGAACGAACATTCCAGGCTGCCAGAGTGAGCGGGCTGACCCTGTCAGTCTGGGGAAAACGAGTGGGGCGACGGGAAGGAGGTGGAGAAGAAGATGACGAAGGAGAAGAATAGGCAGAAGAATAGACAGAGGTAGTGGAAGAAGAGTTAGGATGAGGAGAGTGAGTAAGATTGTTGTTGTTGTTGTTGCTATTGGTATTGTTATTGTTTCGATTTTGATTGTTTCGACCGTGTTGATGGCATCTGCGGCCTTGGCTGGCCTGCAGACGGCGTGGTGCCCAGCAATTTTTAGGCCACCTTTTCTAGGCCCTTCTCCTTGCGGGAGCAGGCAGTGCCACCCCTGAATCGGGCTGCCCATGTGCCTGGTTGCCGCGACCGAATCCCACTATGGGGCCACGACTTTTATGTTTGTAGTGGAGAACGACCGCATATGCCGAAGGTCCGCGGTCTCCGTCGGCGAAGGTGGGCGCGTCTCAGCGAAGGCGATTCGGAGGCCCGTCCCGGCAGCAGTTGTCCAACGGCGTACCAAGCAGAGCCTCGTCTCGACGATGCCGGCGCAGTGTTTCATCCGACCAAACATCCAGCGGAGTCCGCAGTACACTGTGCACGCGGCACAAGCGCACAGCGCCCTCACCTGGTTTAGCCCGCCGGTCGAGGCGGTTGCCCGGGGTGTGGCCGCTGAGCAGAGCCCAGCTACGTGGAGCCACATGTGAGAGTTGGGTGCCAGCAAATGGACGCTAGGCGTAGTCTCACCTGCAAGCAAGTGAGCGACCACTACGACCTTCACGTGAACCCACCGCTGGACACCCCTACACCCCACACACACACACACTCACACTCACACACACACACACACACACCAGGGTTTCATTCAACGGAGTTTCGGCGGCGTATTTCTCACTTGCGTGAGGGTGCCGTTTCGGCTCGTCTCCCAGCCCACCAGTACGCTACTCCACATAAACACACACAACTGGACTGACTGCGTGGACCGACTTTGGGCGTCAATCTGCAGCCTTCCAATCCACGGCGCTTGACGTGTGGGGATAGTCTCCGACTCGAGTCACCTTGCAACAGGAGCCACACGAAGACTGAGTCGAGACGAACGCTTGCCACTTGCGTGGGAGGTGGCAGTTGGGTGCTTGCGATGGCTGATATGAGTGTGTGACGGGATGGTAGTGAGGAGTGGTGTGATGGTGTAGTTCAGCCGGCGGTTGTCTACCGCAGGTTTTCGCGGATGCGCATGCGGTCGAATAGGCCCATGCGGTGCATGAAGGTGCGAGGGCAGTGTGGACAGTGGAGGCTGGTCCGCCAGTCTCTGTGCGATGGATTCGCAAGTGACCGACTAGGCCGATGTGTGAGGTGAAGGTACGGTTGCAGTGAGGGCAGGTGTAATCCTGGTCCAGAACTCTGGTGTCGACGTGGTGGTGTTGGTGTTTCAGGATGTGTCAGGGTTGTTTGCAGCGTTGACATGCGTGGCAGGCACCACAAAGGCAGGCGTTGGAGCAGTGGAGGAGGAGGAGGAGGAGGAGGAGGAGGATGGAAGTGATGGTTCAGGAGAGCGATCGGAGACAGTTAGCGGTTTAGAGGACGAGGTATAGGCGGCCGGGTGAAAGACGAATGATGCGGCCCGAGTGGTGCGGTTGATCCGAAAGTGTCCAACAAGTCCAATTCGTAACCGGAACTTCAATTGACACCGAGGACATGTTGGAGGTGGCTCTGCGTTGACATTGTGGGGGTGGGCGCAGCTTTGATTTGCGTCCTTCGCCTTCGGCTTTGGCAGCGGTAATGCGATCGACTTCGTAGATCGCAGCGCCTCTTTTCACTGTCTTTCTCTAGGTAAGACTGTCTCGGGCGAGGTCTTCCCAGTAGGTCGGATTGATTTGCAGACGTTTCAGGCAGGACTTCAGAGTATCCTTGTAACGGCGGATTTGGCATCCTTAACGGCGAGAACCCGCGGCGACGTCCCCGTAGAGGGGTCGTTTGGGTAGCCTCTCGTCGTCCATCCGTACGAGGTGGCCGCTCCAGCGTAGTTGTAGTTGTCTCAGCATGGCGTAGATGCTGAGGACTCCCGTCTCCACCAGTACGTCCGTGTCTTGGATCCGGTCCTGCCACCTCATAATCAGAATTAAACAAAAACAAGTTGGTAGAAGTGGTTAAGTCTACGTGCCTGCTTCGTGAACACCTTCCAAGTCTCCACTCCGTACAACAGCGTCGGCAGGATGACTGCCATGTACATCTTCAGTTTCGTACTGAGTTGAAGACCGTGGCGATTCCAAACTGTGCTTTGAAGGCGGCCAAAGGCCTGACTGGCCTTAGAAATCCAGCGGGCCACTTCATTGTCGATTTAGGCGCTGCGGGAGAGGATGCTGCCCAGATACGTGAATTTGTCCACCACTTGCAGTAGGGTTCCGTTCACGCTGATTTGCGGCGCATTGTGGGGGATGGCGGTGTTGTGTGGCGGTTGGTGCATGACAATCACCTTTTCCGTGTTGATGGCCAGTCTGAGGTTCTCGCAGGCGGCGGAGAAGAGGTCCATGCTACTTTGCATGTCCTCTTTCGAGGTGGTGTTGAGGGTGCAGACGTCGGCGAACAGAAATTCGTGGACAGTGGTTGTGGATGCACGCAACTGGAAGTGCATCCGCCGCTGATTGAGGAGGTGGCCGTCCATCCTGCAGGCGATGCGGATCCCAGGGCGTTCGTCCCAGTAGGCGTCCATCAGCATGGCAGAGAATATGAGACTGAAGAGCGTAGGCGCGATGATGTTGACCTGCTCCACTCCATTGGTCATTGCGAATGCCTCTGAGATATCTCCATTGTCTGTGACTTGCGCCATCATGCCACCGTGGAGCAGACGCACCATCTGTGTGAGTCGTTGGCTACAGCCGAATTTCTGCATGCTTTTCCACAGTCCTCCGCGATTCACCGTGTCGAAGGCTTTCGTCGGATCCACAAAGGTAGAGTAGGGGTGGATCCGCATCACTCCTGACACTTCTCCTGAAGTTGACGGACGGCGAAGACCATGTCCGTGGTGCCACGATGACGACGGAAGCCGCACTGGCTTTTCAGGCGGTTGAGAAGGATTCGAGCAAAGATTTTCCCGGCAATGTTCAGCAAGGAGATGCCTCGATGGTTATCGCAGAGTTGGCGACCACCTTTCTGTTTATAGAGATGGACGATGGTGGCGTCTTTGAAATCCTGTGGGACTTCTCCCTCACACCACATCTCCCGGAAGAGCACCGTCAGATGATCCATGAGTTGGGGACCACCGCGCTTGTCGATCTCAGCAGGGATCGCGTCCGATCCAGGCGCTTTACCGCTGGGGAGCGTCTGCACGGCCCTGTAGGTTTCGTGGAGAGAGGACGGGACGTCGAGGTCGACGTTGGTCTCCACTTGAGGCAGACGGACGATGACGGCGTCGGAGATGGTGGGGGGGGGGCGGTTGAGGACGCCTCGGAAGTGATCGGTCCACTGCTGAAGAATTTATGTCATCTCGGTGAGAAGGGTACTGCCGTCGGCGCTGAGAACAAATGCAGTTGTTTCAATTGCCGGACCGTAAACAGCTTCTATTGCGACGAAGAAGTTCTTCCATTAGTTTCGGTCCGCGTACCCGTGGATTTCCTCAGACTTGCGAGCCGTCCAAGCGTCCTGCATCTCACGCAGCCGATGCAGCTCCAGGCGGCGACTACGGTAGAAGGCAGCTCTGTTGTCGTCAGTGGGGTGGTCTACGTAGGCTTTTGTTTAGGCGGTTCTTCTCTGCGAGCAGATTGCTGATGGCGGCATCGTTGCCAGTGAACCAGTCCTGGTGTTGGCGGCGTGCGCGACCGAGGACGGCCAGGGCCGTCGACTGGTCTGTGTCCCTCAGTTGACGCCATCGATTCTCCACAGAGTCGATCACGTCAGCGGCGGTGACGGCAGCGATTGGAAGGTTGGCTAGTTTTTGTATCCATCTGGTCATCGCTTGGAATTCTCCACGCTCTCCTCTCAAGTGCTTCCACATTTGGCCCCTGTTGACACTCCTCTTCCCCTTTTTTGTAACCCTTTTCGAGCGTGATCGGCATTCTTTTAATTAACTTGTTTTGTATTCTGACCTTGAGCTGGGAATTCGATCTGCTCGAACAATAACAAAGGAATTCTTTGTCTAGGGTATCAGTTGTTGAGGTTTGTACGTTTTTTCATTATTAATTTATTCTATCAATAGTACCGTATAAACACCGAAATCTGTTTTGGCTTATACGCGTCACTCGTCTGGCAAGCAATTCTACAGTACTCAACATCGTACCATAAATTTGAGGAAATTAATTTCATCAAATGCAGACTCGTTCCACGAAGAATTAATCGGACGCTACGGAACAGTCTCTCGGACTAGACAAACCAGGTGCCTTGGAAGGACATGGAGAGCTGAAGAAGGACGTCCAGTCCGACTCTTGTAAGAACGTTTCTATTAGTAGTCGTAGTTCCAGTAAAACAGTTGAAGCCTTAAAAATACCCGAAATAGAAGAGAGGCGAGTTAAACGTGAGGTCGAACTCCAACGGGCTATTTTTGACGCCGAGAGAAGGACAGAGCTTGCAAGAATAGAGGTAGAGACCGATGAAGAGATGTCCGATGACGACCGTCAACCCGTGGATTCCGTCGCGCATGTCTCGGGATATTTGAAACAATGCACATTGGATGATATTTCTCCCGAAGAGAGTAATCAGGGCCAACGTGAGAATGTTGATATGCCCAAAGCAAGCGCTAGGAGCCTGCCAGCTGCCAGTTTAGAACTGCCCAAGGTTGAGTTGTCCTGGTTTCACGGGAATCCAGTTCATTATTGGAAGTTTATACGGCAATTTGAAGTGTACGTAGAGAGCAAAGTTGAAGATGCTGAACAGAGGCTGCTGTACTTGATTCACTATTGCAGAGGTGATGCGAGAGCGGCCATAGAAGAGTGGGTCATGCTTCCCTCACCTTCGGCTTATTCAAGAGCACGGGTACCCTGACAGGTTTATTGCAAAGAACCTTGCCGAACGACCTGCAAAACCCACCACACTAACCGCCACAAAGAAAACGTTGTTCCTCAAAGTCCCCTTTCAAGGAGACGCTGCAGGTGAACTCCTAAGAAGACGCCTTGACCAATCTGTCTCGGGAACCTTCCCAGCAGCAAGGGTTCGCATATCATTCTCTACTAACCCTATTCTACGCGGAGAAGGGAAGGATAGGCTGCCATCTCAGACCGCCTCAACGTGCATATACTCATTCACTTGCTCCTGTGGAGCAGGTTATATTGGTCGTACGAGTCGGCGCCTTTCCAAAAGAATACGAGAGCACCTTCCCGCATGGCTGGCAAAGGGTGGAACTAGGAGAATAGACAGCGCCATCCTTGCGCATGCAGTGGACTCAGGGCATCGTGTGGACCGCACTAAAGCATTTCGTGTGATTTACAAGGTCCCCTCGAGCTACCCTAAGCTACTGGGCCAGCGCCTGTTAGCAACAGCAGAAGCGGCCGCCATAAGGTTACGAAAACCGACCCTATGAGCCCAAAAGAAGCTTGTTCAGGCTCCGCGCTTACCGTGGTCAAAGGTTGACTAACCACATACAACTTTCGGCGCCCTTCCGCTCTTGCCGAGCCTGTAATTTAAAACCTAACTTTTATCGATTTTTGTTCCGCTCACTGTACCCCGCCCTATGTAACTGTATTGGCCTGATGAGAATTTACCGAAAGGAACGTTCAATCGCCACTGTCTCTTCTGAACACGGGAAATATTGAACAGCTTATTTGGCCAGCCACATGTAGTGCCTAATGCCCTTCTGGACGGTGTTTTGAGACAGGCACGCCAAGTTAACCAGACTGCGAAGGCACTTTAAGATTTGTGCATAAAAATGAGACGTTGTGAAATAGCGCCCACGCAAATGAACTACGTTTCCGACCTACAATCGCTAAATGTCCTAGAGCGAATAGTGCGCTGTTTACCGTTTTTTATGCAGATTCAATGGGCTGAAGTTGCTGACAAAATATCTATGAATGGTAGAGATCCAGACTTTGCAGACCTCACGGAATTCGTAAATACTCGAGCTAGGATAGCAAGAAGTCGTTTTGGACAAATATCTCGAGATGGGGATGGCAAGCGCTCTCAACAGCCCTTTACTGCCACAGCCCAGCATCAAAAACGGGAGAACCCTAACAATTTTGCCATTTCGAGTGTCGAACCAGATCAACGGCCATGTTACATATGTTCTAATGCACATGAAGTGGCAAATTGCCCACGTTTAATTTCCATGGGTATCGCAGATCGATGCAATTGTCTGCGGCAACACAAAGCGTGTTTTGTTTGTCTTGGTAATACGCATTTTGTCAAGGTGTGCAGCTCCAGAGAACTTTGTGGTCATTCCGGGTGCAAAAAACGAAATCATACGCTTTTGCGTGTAATATCGTCGGAAAATAATCAACAAACATTACATAATGAAGGGCTTTGTGTCCTGACTGGAATTACGCATGTACCATCACGACTGGGGGTTATTCCTGTCAAGTTGGCAACTCCGACAGGAAACGTCGAAACTTACGCATTTTTGGACAGTGGCTCGGATGTCACTCTGATTAAACGAAAGCTTCTTGTCGGAAATGGAGTGTTAACAACGCCAACAACACTGACAATAAACACCTTAAGCGGTTCAATCAAATGCAACTCGGAAGTCAGAAGTCTAAGGGTACTGCCCATGAATGGAACCGAGTCAGTTGAGACTGAAAGGGCTTTGGTAGTCGAAGACTTGCCACTTCGTGCAGAATCGACAATTAAAAGGATAGCCTCTTCGTGGCCACACCTGAGCGGTATAATGTTTGACACGCTCACTAATTGCGAGGTTGGCATACTCATTGGGAATGATATCGCGGAAGCACATTGGGTACTCGACCATCGTCTGGGTGGCAAAAGGGAGCCGTTCGCCGTTAAAACACTGCTGGGTTGGATGCTGCTTGGGTCTTCACGTGGCAGGCAAAAACAGAACGCTGTCTGTCACTGCCTTGTAAATCAAGAAAAGGATGTGACGCACAGCATCAAGAAGCTAAACGACTCGGAGTTTTCGGACACTTCAACAACGACTGTGAGTTACTCATGGGAGGACAAACGGGTACTGGTTACTGTGCGATCTTCCGTTACAATCATAAAAGGGCATTACCAACTGCCACTCCCTTGGCGAAGCAGTACGCTGAATTTACCGGACAATTTTCAGTTGGCGCGTAAACGACTAATCCATCTCAAGAGTAAGTTGGGTCGAGATCCCGAATTACTTCGGAAATATAAGCAAACATTCCGTTCGTACATGGAGAGGGGATACATCGAGCGAGTTGACGGCAACAAAGCGTTTCCAGTTACGAGACACTGGTACTTACCACACCACCCCGTTGTGTATCCCAGAAAACCAGAAAAAATTCGTGTTGTATTTGACAGTGCTGCCAAGTGTCAGGGCGTGTCTCTGAATGATAATCTATGCCAAAGACCTGAACTAAACGCTAAGCTAGTAAGTGTGTTGTTGGGTTTCCGACTTGAGCGTATTGCAGTGGCAGGGGATATAGAGGAAATGTTCCTACAAGTGAAAGTGGACCCGATTGATCGACCTGCTCGGAAATTTTTGTGGTGGGAAAATGACGACCTTGAAGGAGAGCCAGTTGAGTTTCAGTGGATATCTCACCCATTCGGATTGACTTCTTCGCCCTTTTGTGCCACCTTTCCGTTGCAAAAAACTATTGGAGATTTCGCGTCATCTTACTCTTCATCAACTGGCAGAGCGATTCACCAGAGTATATACGTTGATGATTGTCTAGTCTCGTTATGTGATGTCGATTCAGCCGAACGTTCTGTGGACGAAATTTGTAAACTTCTCTCTCAAGGCGGCTTTCGTATGCGGAACTGGGCTTCTAATGACCGGCGTATACTCTTGGTCGTTAGTGCGACTGAACGTTCTTCTGGTATGCGAGATATTGCCGTCAACCCCCTTCCTATTGAACGAACTTCGGGGTTTCAGTGGGATACGCATCCCCATATTCTGATGATAAGTTTCAATATGTCCGCAAAATCTTCCACTCGTAGGGGTATTTTGTCCTGTTTGTCCTCACCCTATGACCCTCTGGGCTTCGTTTCGACTTGGCTGATACCAGGGAAGTGTTTACTGCAATCCTTATGCAAAAACGGACTGAATTGGGATGAACAACTATCTGGCATCGAGAGCTCTCTTTGGGAAAACTGGATCTCTAATTTACGGAGCCTGAAGACATTTCAGCTGGGCCGATGTCCAAAGCCCAAAGATATCAGCGATCCGATGCGAGCCGAACTGCACGTGTTTTGCTATGCCTCGGAAGTAGCATACGGTGCAGTGGCATATGCTCGCTTTATAAACGACACAGGAAATCTACATTTTAAACTCGTTTATTCGAAAGCACGTGTTGCCCCCCTCAAAGCCGTATATATACCACGTTTAGAGTTGGCAGCTGCTACTCTGGCTGTGCGCGTGGCTGATCTCATCCGCTCAAGCACCGATAGGTACTTCCAAACAATAACGTTCTGGACCGAATCTATGATAGTCCTTTATTATATACACAATGAATCAACCAGGTTTTGCACATTTGTGGGCAACCGACTGACGGTTATGCATGATCTGTCTGCGACCTCTCAGTGGAGATACGTGAGTTCGGACGTCAACCCAGCAGACATTGCTTCTCGAGGTACGTGCAACTTTGCGCTGGTACGTAGATGGTTGGACGGTCCGGAATTTTTAGTTCAACCTGAAGGCGAATGGCTTGTACAACCTCCCATAGGACACCCTGAAGACTTGGAATTCAAGAGGACAACAGCCCAAGTTCATGTATTAAATCAATGTGATGGTTAAGATGAGTTAGTTGTGCGTTTTTCAAGTTGAACAAGGCTGCAAAGGGCTGTGGTCTGGCTCCTGCGTCTCAAGCAGTACGTCAGAGTCACCACTGGCAGGCACCTAAGGAGACGCTGATGTTGGGTCCTATCCGAGTATCCGAAATGCGCCAAGCTAGCATTAGCTTAATAAAGCTTGAACAAAGGAAGCACCTTTCAGCAGAATTGGATATTCTGCAGTCTACACCAGCAGATTACCAGAAAAGAAAGTCCGTGAGAAATATTGGCCTGAGACATTTATGTCCGGTTTTGATTGAAGGAGTAATGTGCGTTGGTGGTCGCCTGAACTACTCAAATTTTTGTGAATCGTTAAAACACCCGTCAATCCTCCCGTACAATCATCCCGTGACGGAATTAATCATACATTACTTTCATGAATTGGAAGGCCATTGTGGGACAGCCCAAGTTCTAGGTGCAATCCGTCAAAAGTTCTGGACTCTAAAAGGAACCGCTTCTGTCAAACGTGTCATCGGTAGACGTATACTTTGCAGACGTAAATTTGGACAACTTCAGGGGCAGATGATGTCCCCACTTCCCTTAAATAGAACAGAAGTCGGTTGGTATCCTTTCGAGTGCGTTGGGTGGACTAGTTTGCTCCGATGATGGTCAAACGCGGACGGTCTTCGGAGAAACGCTATGGTTGTGTGTTTAGCTGCTTACAAACGAGAGCCGTTCATCTTGAGATAGCCGCCAGTCTGACCACGGATTCTTTTGTTCATTGTCTGATGAGATTCGTGAGTAGACGCGGACGTCCCACTGACATCTACAGTGACAACGGAACCAATTTTGTTGGAGCGGTAGCAGAACTCCGAAAGGACTTACACAATTGGGACCAAAAGAGAGTGTCGGACCAAGTGCTAACTCCAGGGGTACAGTGGCATTTTAACCCACCCCCGGCCAGCCATCGGGGAGGCATCTGGGAACGAATGACCAGGTCTCCACGACGGATTCTTCTTGCTCTCTGTAGGGAGCAGTGCCTTACTGACGAAAAGCTCGGCACCCTCTTCGTGCAGGCTGAACGTACATTAAATAATAGGCCGCTTGTCCCGCTAACATCAGACAGCAACGACTTGTAACCGCTTACCCCGAATAGCTTATTGTTGATGAGGAACTGTCCAGTGCTGCCTAGCGGTGACGAATTGGTGGCACGGTACCACGCTGGATGGAAACAAGTGCACTACCTCGCTGGCGTGTTCTGGAGACGATGGGTAAAAGAATATCTCCCAAGTCTGCAGAAAAGAACAAAATGGACAAGAGAAGCCGCGGAACTGAAACCAGGTGATGTTGTTTCAGTTTCTGGGGAGCGCACAGCTCGTGAGAATTGGCCTTTGGGAGTAATAGATAGGTGCGAAAGGAGTCGCGACGGCCTCGTTAGGACGGTATATATTAGAACGGCGGGCGGTCTCTTAAAAAGGGACGTTAGAAAGATTTGTCTCCTTGAGGGTCAGAGCAGCCGTATACCTCCAGACGCGTAGATCGTTTACAAGAGCCGGACGTGGAGAATTGGTGGGCTGTGTTGTATGCAGTTGGTCAACGTTTGGAATTCTCCACGCCCTCTGTTGACATTCCCCTTCCCCTTTTTTGTAACCATTTTTCGAGCGTGATCGGCGTTCTTTTAATTAACTAGTTTTGTATTCTGACCTTGAGCTGGGAATTCGATTTGCTCGAACAATAACAAAGGAATTCTTTGTCTAGGGTATCAATTGTTGAGGTTTGTACGTTTTTTCATTATTACTTTATTCTATCAATAGTACGATATAAACACCGAAAACTGTTTTGGCTTTTACGCTTCACTCGTCTGGCAAGGAATTCTACACTAGTCGCTGAGCAAGTTCATAGCTAAAATGGAGGTAGTGAGCAGGCAAAGACAACAAAACAATATTCAGCTTACCCGGGGGTCGCTTACCTTGAGGTCTCCCACGAGGCTGTAGGCGAATACGCATCTTGGAGACAACGAGACAATGGTCAATAAGCCTGTCGCCCTTGTCACCAGCACGTCCCGCTGGTCTCGCCTCCGGACGAGGAAATAGTCCAGCAGATGACAGCGTCGCGACCGAGGGTGCATCTAGGTGGCCGTCTCTCGCAGTGGGAGGCGGAAGTAGGTGTTGGTCAGGAGCAGCCGGTGTTCTACGCAGGTTCGTAGGAGGAGTAGGTCATTGTCATTGACGTCGTCGAGACCATGGAGACCCAGCACTCCTCTCCAGGCAGCATGGTCTGTGCCGATGCAGGCGTTGAAGTCACCAGGGACAATCAGCTTATCCGCCTTCGACACATTCGCTAGGAGGGCGTGCAGGTCCTCGTAGAATTTGTCTCTTGCGGCGTCAGGGCTGGTCATCGGTGGAGCGTAGGCACTGATGATGGCGGCGAATTTGCCTCCCCGGAGAGGCCGGCGGGGCTCATCAGGCGATTGAGGATGTCCTGCGGCAGACAGGGCAGTCGTCCTACGATGTCGTTCCGGATGGGAAGGCGACGTCCGCGTCCCGTTGTTCTGTCCTGTGGCGAACGCTCCAGAAGAAGGTGTAGCTGGAACCCACGTCCTCCAGTTGGCCTTCTTCGGAAAGCCGGGTCCAGCTGAGTGCAGCGATGTCCATCTTGTAGCGCGCGAGTTCCCGAGCCACAAGCGCTGTTCTCCGTTCCGGTTGGTTGCTCCTCGGATTGTTTGAATGGGGGGAACATTCCAGGCTGCCAGATTGATGGGGGCTCATCCTACCAGTCTGGACAGTGGGGTTGCGGAGATGAGGAGGGGGAGAAGAGGAAGACGAAAAAGAAGAAGAAGAGGACTAAGTAGAAGCGGAAGAAGAAGCAAGACGAGGAAGACAGATAGTATTATTGTTGTAGTTGTTGTTTTGACCGTTAATTTAGCGTCTGCGACCACGGTCAGCCTGCAGACGACGTGGTTCCCTGGCAATCTTTAGGACCCCTTCTCTAGACCCTTCCATTGTGGGCGAGCAGTGTTTTCCTCAATAGGGCTGTCCGATTGTGCCGGGAGCGTCCGAAATCCACTATCGGCCACGAATTTTGTTATAATGTAAGAACGACTGGGATTTGCCAAATGCTTACGACATCGCCGTAAGCCCGCGGACTCCTACGACACATCAGACGGAGCCTCGTCTCGATGATGCCGATGCGAAGTTCCAGCCGACCGGCTGACCAGCGGTGTATCAGACGGAGCCTCGTCACGATGGTGCCGATGCGGAGTTCCATCGGACCAATCGCCCAGCGGAGTGCGCGCTACCGTGTGCGCTGGCACAGACGCACACGGATAACTTCACCTGGTCTAGCCTGCTGGACGAGGCGGTCACCGGGGTGTGGCCACTGGGCAAAGCTCTGCTTCGGGGAACCACATGTACGAGTTGGGTGCCAGCAAATGAACGCTACGCGTAGTCTGCACCTGTAAGCAAGTGGGCGACCTACTACGACCATCACGTGAGCCCACCGCTGGACACCCCTACACTCCATACACACACGCGGCGATTTGACTGTCGCATCGGACGATGTCCACCGAATGCTCCACAGCAGGGTGGGGCAGGGACGGTGACTCGCGCGAGTGTTTATAGTGTCAGCAGACTTGCGCTGCATCTACAACACTCTCTCCTCCTCCGCCTGATCCCAGTGTCAAGACGGGGTCAAGAAGACCTGAAATGAGGGAGGGCGCAGGTAGGTGGCACGGTCGAGCTCGCACTTTGGCGTTCCACCACACCCCCTGGTTTACACAACAAATGACCACGATTATGACCAACAAAACAACGGGGGGATGGGGGAGGGTGGCGGCGGTCCCAGGCTGTGCGACGACTACCGACATCAGGGTCTGTCTGCGCACCCTCTAGACGTTGGCATTTGTTATTGCGCAAAGTAACGCCTGCCAGAATCCCATGTGGTCCCCGTGTTGGTCCAGCGCATAAAGCACGTGGCACGTTTGGGGGGCTCTCTCTCTTTCTCTCTCTCTCTCTCACACACACACACACTGGGTCTAATAGATCACCTAAGGTAGCCTTCCGATTATGCAGCATTGGACAGAGTCGTTAAATATCCCATCAATCATACGTATAAAGATGTAGCAAGGAAAGGGATTTGTAGGGTATGAAGTCTACGTTACAATAAACGAACGGATAGAGTAGCAGAGGTGGAAAATAACGAACACAAGGAAATGGCGCGGTGCTGTACAAATGGTCTATTTGGATTGGGGGGTAGTCACGTCTTATCAGGTGGACACCAGAGGGGATTGCAGCGTTGTCGGCAACTACAGGTAAGAACCGAGGTTGTGCTGACGATGGGCGACACGAGAGGCGAACGAACAGTGACAGCCGGGGGAAGCAATGTCGGTGGTAGGGAGGGAAGGAAAACCGGTCATCTTCACTACATACGACCACACTTGTGTAACGGAGCAGAACGTTATCCGATGCTCTCTATTTACCCCTTTCCTCCGTTTTCAGGGCAGTCCTCAGTGAACGCCCTGGCGGACCACACTGATGCGGAACCGGACGAACCCGATGTTTGAATGGGCCCACGACTTTTGGCGCGGCTTGTGAAAAAGCGATTAGCAATAAAGGAGTGGTGGCGCTTCCGCCCGGTTGGCTGGGTGAACATCAACTTGCCGACAGTCCGACCATCGATTTCGGGCGTGAGGTCTAAAGTAGAGAACCACACCGTCCCCGAAACAGCATCAATGGTATCAACGATGCGAGGCAATGGGAAGGAGTCCCGCTTAGTAACCGCATTCAATCGGCGATAATCGACACATAGGCGAGGGGGGCCTTCCTTATTCTTTAGGAGGAAGATAAGCGACGCCCAAAGGGGGGAGGATGACTGAATAACGTACTTATCCAACAGCTCCTGAATCCTACAATTCAGCATATATACTAAATTATATGATTCAGGATCTGTTGGATAAGAACGTTATTTAGTAATCCTCCCCCATTTGGGCGTCGCCTATCTTCCTCCTAAAGAATAAGGATGGCACCCTTCGTCTATGTGTCGATTATCGCCGATTGAATGCGGTTACTAAGCGGGACTCCTTCCCAGATCCTTCTCTAGATCCTTCTGATAGAACACGGGAATGCGTCGAGGTGCCTGACAGATAGGTCGGAAATTCCCCATATCAAGTGAATGCTGAAAAACACGAGTATGTCCTAAAAATCTGTTGTTGACGTCAAACTGGGTAGAAAACGCTTCTAGAAACTCAACAAGCGTTTACCATGAAGACTCACTGATATCGGACTCAGAGATGAGAGGGGCCCACCACGGTCCGTCAGTGATCCCCGAAACTACATGCCTGCGAAATACCTCAATATCATCGAGGCGGATTCTGGGAGCGGATATGTGATAGCGGCTCAGAAAATCCATACCTAGGATCACGTCCCATTGCATACGTGCGCGTATAAACGTGTAATCTGTGACGAAATGACCAATGATCACAGCACATTAGGCTTGTCCTCCCGAGTGGAGAACGGAGCCGTTAGCCGTCGAAAGCTGGAAGGACTTTGTAGGTGTATGATAAATCCAACAAAATCTCGAAGAGACCACAGAGCAGGAGGCGAAAAAATTCGAGTACAGTCCTGTGTGCCGAACGCCTAGCGTAAACCTTTTTCGAATTTCGGCCTCGAGCCGGATGGACGATTCATTCGGAAAGGCCTCCAGTGCCAGCTCTCGCAGGGCTCCAACAAAGACGTCAGCAGCCTCTGTCTCCAGATACCGTCGACCCCAGAACGCTTCTAATACCAAAGACGGTGGCTGAAGAGGACAGATGACATGTTTCACAAGAGCGATCTGTAGCAGCCGAGGACGTCAAGGGTAGCACACAACCACGTAGCGAAATGCCGGGAAGAGATCCTGGCTTGCGTTGATCTGAATACGATTGTTAGTAGTTCACGATACTCATCCGTACATAAAGGAAGAAGAAACGACAAGTGGACAAGAAAATATAATGAACAGAAAAGGGGATTGGAAAGGTGTATAATCAGTCAGTCAGTCAGTGTATTTGAGGGAAATAGGTTTACGCCTTTGAACTCCTATTTGTACATACAAAATCGATAAACAAGCAAAAATGTGAAGAAATTACAACATTAAGTGAATGCATACATTGATTCACATATGTCACCAGTCACATGGCTAAAAAGTCACATAGTCCGCTTGTTGCTGCAGCATATATCTGTCAAGGCGACATTTAAATGCCTCCACAGATTGAGACATAACAACCGTCTCGGGCAAATTATTCCACGGTTCCACGACACGGTTGGAGAAGAAATATGTTCTCACATTCAGTCTACCCTGTGGCACACGTAGCTTGAAGGGATGTCCCCGGAGGTGAGTTGTAGTGGCGAGTTGGAAAAAGTCATCGCGCCGAAGGGCACAATCCAAGCCGCGCACGATACGGAAAGTTTGTATCATGTCCCGGCGCAACTGCCTATAATTCAGAGGATAGAGATTAAGGTTAGTTAAGCGGATCTCGTATGGCAGTGCACTTTGACCTCTTATTGATTTTGTTGCTCGTCTCTGCATCCTTTCGAGCAGATCGTAATCCTGATGCGTCCACGGTCTCCAGGCCTGAATTGCATATTCGAGATGGGGCCTTATAAACGTACCGAAGACTTTGGTGAAGCAGTCTTTATCGAAAACTACGAATGCCCGCTTGATGGCATATAGCATTGAGGTTGCGGCCTTGGCCGCCTTACAGCATCGTGTAAAAGGCTTTAGGCTGTCTGCAACCCAAACTCCGAGATCTTTCTGAGTTTCTGCTTCTCGGAGTGGCATTTCGTTCAGGTGGTATTGCTGCGTACTAGGGGTCTGATTTCCGAGGCGCAGAATGGTGCATTTGTTGAAATTGAAGGACAAGAGCCATCTGCGGGACCACTCGTCCAATCGACAAAGGTTTTCTTGGAAGTTGGTCTCATCGGCAGCATTCTGGATGACTTTCCAGATTTTTATGTCGTCTGCAAACATGGCGCAATCACAGTCCAACCCATCTACACAATCATTGATGAACAAGAGAAAGAGGGTTGGTCCGAGCACCGAGCCTTGTGGGACTCCACTCTCTATGAATGTGCACCTTGATTGCTGTTGTACTACGCAGACAATTTGGGAGCGGCCGACAAGGAAATTTTCGATCCATTTGAGAAGTTTGCCGCCGATGCCCATAATTCTCAACTTGTGTAGGAGACGCTGGTGCGGAACACTGTCAAACGCCTTCCGGAAATCAATATAGGCAACATGCACGGTGTGTTTTGCGTCCAGTGCTCGTGTCCAACTTTGCATTGTGCATAGCAAGTTCGTACCACATGATCTTCCCCTACGGAAACCATATTGTGCATTGGACAAGAGGTTGTAGGTTTCCAAGTAAGCCATCAACTCCTTTTTGATGGTTTTCTCCATCACTTTGCAGCAGATTGATGTCAGACTGACGGGTCTGTAGTTTGTCGCCAGAGCACGACTACCGCTTTTGTAAAGGGGTGTAATGTTGGCCGTCTTCCAGTCTGTGGGAAGAATTCCAGCATCAAACGATTTCTGGCACAGAAAGGATAGTGGCTTGGCCAGCTGTTGGGCAAGCTCAAAGAGCAGCTTTGCTGGGATCTCGTCCAGACCGGGAGATTTACATTCCTTCAAGCTTTTCAGTTCTTCCATAATCGCTTCTTCTCGAAGCACAATATTTTCGATAGTGGGATCTCTCATGTTCTCAGAATTAGATGGAGTAAAGTCTGCTTCTCTTGTGAAAACGGATCGGAAAAATTGAGAAAAGTGCTCAGCCTTATTTGTACTGTCCGATATCTTCAAGCCGTCATCACCCCTCATAACAGGAATGGAATTCCTGTTACGTGTGCTTTTCCGCAAATAGCTGTAGAGCAATTTCGAATTTTTAACGGCTTGGTGGAGCAAATTACTCTCAAAATCTCGTCGCCTCCTGAAAATCAGACTTTTCATCTTATTTCTTTGAACTTTGTATTCTGTAAACGCTGCATTGTTGTTGTTCTTGCGAAATTTCTTCCGTAACCTTCCTTTCTTGTTGATCTCCTTTTTGAGCTCTCGTGTTAGCCACTGAGGGCGGTTGGATATCCTAGGCTTTGATAAGGGACAGTGGTTCTTCATTAGATGCAGTAAACGATCTTTGAATAAATTCCAATCCTCGTTAACGTTTCCGGAGAAGAGAACATCCCAGTCTATTTGTGATGCCTCAGCTCTCATTTGACGAAAGTCCCCTTCCCATATATTTGGCCTCGTATTGTCTTTTGTACACGGTTCAGAATACAGCAAGTACTCCCATAAAAGCACTGCATGATCACTTCGACCGAGCGGGGGTAGGTAGTACACCTCGTCTATACTGTCAGGATCTTTGGTAAAAACGAGGTCCAGACAACTGGCCTGTTGCCCTCCACGAGCTCTAGTTGGAAACAGGACATGCTGCGTGAGTAGAGCTTCTAGGGCTGTCTTTAGTAGATGGTAATCGAAGGTATTCATCGAGCACTTCGCATGCATATCGCTCCATTGAATGCAGGGTGCATTAAAATCCCCCATGAGAACAACGTCTGGTCGGCTGGCGATCTCTTTTATGCTTTCAAGTAGACAAGTATCTGGGTCGGGATCCGCCTGCGGGGGCCGGTAGATAGTTACGATTTCGAGGGACTGAGATCCTCGCGCCTTTATAGTCAGCCGAATTGCCTCTGTGTCGTTAGAAATCTTGTCGGTCCTCTTACGCACTGCTAAGTTGTTCTTGACATACATGGCAACTCCTCCAGCCCGGCGGCCTCTCCTGTCTCTCCTAAACAAATGGTATCCTGTTAATGCTACCTCGCAATCACCAACGTCCTCTGACAGCCACGTTTCTGTTATTGCTATAACATCAGGAAGAGTATCGGCTACCTGTATTCTCAGTTCCTCAAGCTTGGAAAACAGACTCTGAGCATTGGTGTAAAAGAATTTTACTTTGCAACATTCGACAGTGCTTCGTTCGGTTTGTCTCGGGTTTGCCAATATTATGTTGCTGCCGCCATCATGATGACTGGCTGGTTCCAAAACAACGTCGAGTTCCTCTGTATCACTCGTCCCCTGAAAATGGCCAAGTTGCTCTCTCTCGCTGCAAGTCTCCTCTTCAGCTCCGTTACCAATTCGCGGCGTTTCAGGCGTTCCGCTGGAGAATAGTCCGGCTGAAAAAACTTCCTTGTGAGAGTTTTGGAGGCAGCTTTTCCTGGACAGAAGTAAGCTAGCCTCCTCTTTACTGTTCAAAACAATTTTCAGAGGTCGTGGCCGCAGAGGTTCCGATTGTTCGCTCACCTTCTTTCCGATCCAGAAGGCTGCGCGAATGGTTATCTTTTCATTTGAATTAAGCATTTTGTTCAGTAGGTGTTGAAGCATATTAAGGTTAGCGGAGATCCTCTGCTTCGGGGTAGGAGAATTCGACTCCGAAAGGCCCTGGACGACTACGCAGTGCTGACGATCAAGGGGTTCATTTGTTCTGTTTCCGTCGGCCTTGTCAACTGAAGGTCTCAGAAGATCCACCTGGGGTTTTTTACTCCCGTTGTGGCGCTTACCCTTTCCATCTTGCCATGAGCTTGTTTCCTCACTTCCAAATGAGGGTCCTATTGAACACGCGGAATGGCTGAGAGAAGTCGATGGTTCGCTTGGGTTGTCTTCCATAGAAACATGAGACTCCGTTGCTATTTTCCCATCGTCCTGATAGTTAAAAGTACAAACAGGACGAGTTACAACCGTTGAGTGACCTGTATGGGTGGAGAGGCGATACCAAAATGCCAGCTAGTAAACCGGTGTGGAACGCAGCGCTGTGGGCAATTGCAGGGAGGGGCCGAGGGAGGTGCCGACGTAGAGAGTAGGAGAACGGTGCGAGCGTCACGATGCGATGCGGGGAAGGGGTCGGCGGAAGGGAGAGGAAAGGGCACCGGTCATCTTCACCAGCACGCGGTTACGCCATCTCCACCCTAGGCCCTCGCGCCAAAAAGTGTCACAGCCGTAAAACAACCCTGCTCAGATCCGGAGACGTTAAAATCGCGCAGCTCAATTTCAAAAATAAGTGAAGCTTTGCATTTATCTGGATATTCTTAAGCAACTAGTGCCTGTTTTTTACTTGAGTCCCTTTTAAAAGTCGCCTTTCAATACAAGATATAATTTTTCCCAGTTTTATTTGACAGCCTGACAAAATAGTCGTATTTTGTAAAAAACCTTCGTAGTGACTCCTTTCCCTACTATCTCTTTCTATTTTTCGTAGTTAAATAACATTAGCACCTGCTATTAAGTGCGATTTTCCGTACGTTGGCAACGTATTGACCCTTCTTCTGTAACGAAAAACTTTTCCCGTCTGTAATGCCCCTCAGAGCACGTGCTAAACGGCGAAAGCTGCCGGCCTCCCCACCGTCTCTGGCTGCTAAAATCGTGACTGAAGACATAGCAGGTGCCAGCGTATGCTCTTCGCCGTCTGCAGATCTGATTAAATCACAAATCCCTTTAGTACATGTAGAAACTCTTGACGCTTCAGTCGTCCAAAAATACACCTCTGGTAGTCGCAGCAGGCCATCAGCCGGCGAAATAGTCGACCAGTTGATTTATGGCGACATAAACAGCACTTCTGAAAATTAATTGAACAAGCTTTTAAACTTATTGGGGTAATAAGTTCGGAAACTGAGGAAAGAATTAAGCGCAAGCATAATTTCCTATTGCCGATTTTTCCGCCGTTTAATAAAACTCTTGCTCCAATGGAAACAATGCATCCCCCACCCCCTAACTGGTTTCGTCCACGGCCGTTTTACCAATTTATTCCTCATGATAATGTCCATACTGAATCAGTTAACTCATCCGATCCTCAGTTTCGTTCCGGCGGGAATACGTTGCAGTATCTGATCCGCGGATTTCCAGCTGAAAATAAGTTAGCTAACAATGGTTACCAGTTCACCTGCCCGTTACTCCCTCCCCCAAGTCCTACCCCTTTTTATCCACGTCAGAATTTTTCGATGCCACAAAATTTTTTGCAAAACCGGATGGTTGCATCCGGAACATTTGCTCTGTGGGCAGCCCAGAACTGGAAGATGTAGCCCACTTCCCTCAGAAACAAACAGCCTTTCCCTTTAAACTTTTTGTTTTAAATGCCAGATCCTTGCTTAATAAGATGCCTTTGCTTCAGACTCTGGCGTTCGTCCATTGTCCAGATATTGTTTTAATAACTGAGACGTGGGCATCAGCCTCAGTAGCTGACTCCAAACTCCCTCTTCTAGGCTATAATTGCACCCGAAATGATCGCCAAGATAGCCGTGGTGGGGGCAGCTGCATCTACGTTAAGCAAACACTTACATTTTTGCCGTTGGACCTCCCGCATTTTTCAGCAGTAGAAGGCAGCTGCTGGCTCCAGGTTGCACTAAAAAATAAGTTCTCCTTACTCGTTGGCTGTGTCTATCGTCCTCCCAACGCCAACGACAGTTTTGATCGTTTACTCTCACAGGCATTTCATGCTGCGGCCGACTCAAGCTTTAAGTATCAATTGGTTGCGGGTGACTTTAATCTCCCCGAAGTCCGCTGGTCTCCGCCTTCAGGCCCCAGAAGGTTCGAAGACTTTCTTGAGGCTG